TCTGAACGAAAGAAAAGAAAGAAGCCTCTTTCTTAATTAATCCGCGACGTTCCTTCTCGAACATTGTTCTAAAGAAGGAAATACCTGAAGTTGTCTGAAAGCATTCTGAAACAAGAGTCTTTGATCTCACTGCTTTTCTTTGTAAAAGTTTATAAGCAAATGAATATACGCGTTTGTTCTTGTAATAATAACCGAGACTCTGGCGAAAGAAGGAACGTTGGAAGAAACTACGTAGTTCTCTCCGATGCTAAGCACTTCTTAAAAGTAAGAAAACGACCGTATGATCTTTCTGAAAGGAGAGTATATGTTCTTTTCTGATACCGTGTCGCTCGTCACAGGTTATTAAAACTTCTTTTATGAAAAGCTTTGTAAGTTGCTTCTTTAAATTAAACACCTCAGGGTGTGTGCCCCTTCAGTCATGAACCACACGTGTCACAGGTGTCACGTTTTTCCTTATAATTTCATTCTTCTCGACATCGGTAGCGGAAATGTCACGAGACAGTGATATTTCGTTATTCGCTCGTCACAGATTATTAAAACTTCTTTTATGAAAAGATTTGTAAGTTGCTTCTTTAAATTAAACACCTCAGGGTTTGTGTGTCCTTTCAGTCATGAACCACACGTGTCACGTTTTTCCTTATAATTTCATTTTCCTCTCGACATTGGTAGCGGAAATGTTACGAGACAGTGATATTTCACATGAAAAATTATCGTAGCACTTTTCTGTCTAATTGCAAGTCTCAGCAAAGGATCGTATTGTCCCCTGCATTTCCAAAAACAACAATGCGTGCGAAGTTGCAGAGAAATTCTAGAGATGAATCGCCTTGGAACATGCAGTCGATGTACATTCTACAGCCAGATTAAAGAGATTGTGATGTTTCTTCTGTATAGGTTGTAGCGGTGCACGTTGAACCGACTATCTTTGATTCGTACTACAATGGATGTTGCAACGGGACTTTCTGGCCATTGTTTCACTCGATGCCTGATCGAGCGACCTTCATCGCGGAGCATTGGCGCGCGTATTCCGCGGTCAACGAGGAATTCGCTGCGAAAACGGTGAGTACGGTATCGATTCAGATTGCAAGTAAATAGAACTAGTCCAGTTCATTTGAAAAAAGCTAGGGAAAGGTATTGTCATGTAAAGATTATCTGGATAAATTTGTCAGATATAATGTAAATGAGACAGGAGGTTTCGCACATTGTTATCTACTGTGCAAATAAGTATTACATCGAAGCTGTTAAGAATGACATCAAGGTAACAAATGTTTGCTGCGATTTAAATAGAACAATATCTACGTATGTACATATGCAGTATTGTGTTATAACAGTAACGAGAGTTGGAAAGTTGCGCGTGTATGGAACATTTTGTGTACACTTAGTAAGTAGTTGATAACAGAATTATTGAAAGTGATTTTAGATTTTCGCTTTTTTAAAGCACTGAACGTACGCAGATGCTTTTAGTAAAATTAATGAGAGTGTTATTATGATGGAAATGTTTATGAATTATATATGCTTACCTATACGACGTGAGAGTTTAATGAAAATTGAACAATGTAGAGAAGCGAAGAAATATTATAAAGCAAAGAGAATGGAAGAGACCATATTTATCAAAATATCTATTATCGAGATTCATTAAAAATCAGATGATTAAATGTTGAAAATTCTACTGCACGCAAAGCAATTACACTAAAAATTACACTAGTAGTATTATAGGTAATGTAATGATAATAATTTGTCAATACCTAGGTTCGTGCACTGGAACAAATCCATAAAGAGCAAAATAATCAACCGAATGGCACGCCGTTGGTCTGGGTGCATGACTATCATCTAATGTTAGCAGCGAACTGGATTAGACAAGCTGCCGATGAGAAATGTCTCAGGTGTAAATTAGGTTTCTTCCTCCACATCCCTTTCCCACCATGGGACATCTTCAGATTGTTCCCATGGGCTGATGAAATACTCCAAGGGATGCTTGGTAAGCATCACTTTCATTCACTCTGTAACATGCATTGGTAGAAATTTGTAAATTTGTAAATTTAAAAGTATGACGATCCAAGTATTTCAATCTGAATTAAAAATTATGAATTATGAATTGTAATGCAACGTGATACTTAATATTCATTAAGAATTATGAACTGTGAAAGAATTTGTATCTCTGAAATAATTTAATTATTAAAAAGAGTTATTTATCATAGAAGGTCATATATATATATACAGTAGGATATATCTGTTCCTTTCTATTTAAAAGAATCTGACATCTAATAAAGATAAAATCGTGTTAGGTTGCGACATGGTCGGTTTTCACATTCAGGACTATTGCCTGAACTTTGTCGATTGCTGTCAGAGATGTCTCGGATGCAGGGTTGATCGCAAGAATTTGCTGGTGGAGCATGGTGGAAGAACTGTACGAGTGAGACCACTTCCCATTGGTATCCCGTTCGATAGATTCGTTTCGCTGGCCGAGACTGCCAGCAAGGTCATGTTGACCAACCAGAAAATTGTATTGGGCGTTGATCGTTTGGATTATACCAAGGGTTTGGTCCACAGACTAAAAGCATTCGAGCTGTTGTTAGAAAAGCATCCGGAACATCGTGAACAGGTAAATAGTCAAAGTGTATTGCTATACTGCAAACTGCCAGTAACATTCATAGTTTGCTAAATTAAAGTCTACAATATTTAGCAAACAGATCATATGTAAGAACATAGACTTATTGATCACAATGATAGAATAAAATAATATTACGAGTCAGAAGACTAGGAAGGAATTTGGAAAGAAAGATTTTCAGAAATTATTAAACTGTATGTATCTGTCTAGGTCACTATGCTACAAATTGCTGTGCCATCGCGAACCGACGTCCGCGAATATCAAGATTTGAAACTTGAAATGGATCAGCTGATCGGCCGTATAAACGGCCGGTTCACGACACCGAATTGGTCCCCTATTCGTTACATTTATGGCTGCGTGAGTCAGGACGAATTGGCAGCGTTTTACAGGGATGCCGCAGTTGCTCTGGTCACACCACTTAGGGATGGTATGAATTTGGTCGCCAAGGAATTCGTTGCCTGTCAGATCAACAAACCGCCCGGTGTGTTGATCGTTTCTCCGTTTGCTGGAGCTGGAGAGATGATGCACGAAGCCCTGATCTGTAATCCCTATGAATTGGACGAAGCTGCAGAAGTTATTCATAGGTACCTTTGAACTGAGATTTTCCTACCTTTGACTGCAAACTTCTGACTGTTTTCACAATTCGTTTGTACAATGCTTTATTAAACATGTATTTCGGACATACAAGAGACTACTACTTGCATACATTCCAGAGCACTTACTATGCCAGAAGATGAACGCACGTTAAGGATGAATCACTTAAGACGCCGCGAAAGGATCTACGATGTCAATTATTGGATGAAATCCTTCCTGCAAGTGATGGGTTCGTTGGAGGAACATGATTCAGTGGGTGCGACGACTATGCAGCCGGTTACCATGGATGATTTTGATGATTACTTAAGCAAGTAGGTATTGTTAGAGATTAGCGACGTGCATGACTGGGCCCGACCAGAGCATGCGCTTACGCGGGAATCAATCAACCAATATACAATTAAATAATGTATAAATATTTTAAGGTGTTAAATCTATTAACAGTATGTGTGTGTACACGTATAAATTTCCTATCGAATTAATCGTAGATTATATTCAGAATACCAAATGAATTAATCAAAATATAAACGTATATGTTGTGAGCAAGCTAGGTTTTAGAAGAGAATTTCAAGGAGATTGTTAGACGAGCATTGCAATGTAGTCAAACTCTCAACTTAGACCAGCTTTTGATATTCTGTAGAAAAATTCCAATTATACAAAATATACATACAGTTTGCTTATCGCATATACGAGCACAGATTGTTGATCGGCATGCTTGTGTAATGGAATGAGCATGCATTCCTATGGAATGAATGAGATTTCCCGATGAAAAATGGATTGAAACTCGACAGATCGAGCCGAATCGTTTATTAAATCGAGCATGAGTTTGGGTACGTCGCCGCGTTGGAAACCACCTGGTGCCTTTAATATTGCCAGTGAAATACATTAAAAGATACATACGTAACATCCCAAGCGTGAAAAAAATCGTGACTATCTGGGACAAATTTCCTCGATTAATTATCCGTCTGTGCTGTAATGTCCCTGAAAAGTCCATCCTATCGTCAAATTAATTAAATTTCGTATCTAATATATATTGCGAACGAAGGATCAAAAAAAAAAAAAAAAAAAAGGATAAAAATTCTCGAATCAAGTTGCCATGACGTAACTTTTGGGATTATTGACATGTGTGTGTGTGTCTATGTCTGACACCCTCCAATGAGATTATGTATTCAGCGAGGAAATGCTTCTGGAAGACGGACGGGCCCGCGCGTGCGATTGCGACCTGACTCATGATGAAAGCCGGGTAACGTTCCAGTGATAACACATGTCCCCTAGGTATATCGGCGATAATCATAAATTGGCTCTTCTGCTGGACTACGACGGCACTCTGGCTCCTATCGCGACCCATCCGGATCTCGCTATATTACCCCTCGAGACGAAGAACGTTCTCCAAAGGTTGTCGAACATGTCCGACGTATACATAGCGATCATATCAGGCAGAAACGTGAACAACGTGAAGTCCATGGTTGGTATAGAAGGTATCACGTACGCTGGCAATCACGGGTTGGAAATTCTGCATCCAGACGGTAGCAAGTTTGTCCATCCGATGCCCGCCGAGCTGGAAGGCAAGGTGGCGAATTTGATGCAAACGTTGCAAGACCAAGTGAGTATCAAGTACTGTTAGATATCAATTGGAAAAACTAATCGTTTGCAACTTCACTAACATTCGTCGAATGTGTAGCTTTGCAAAGACGGTGCCTGGGTGGAAAACAAAGGAGCGTTACTGACGTTCCACTATCGTGAAACGCCAGTGGAAGGACGTTCCGAGATGGTCGAACAGGCGAAGAACATCATCGAACAAGCGGGATTCAAAGCTTGTTCGGCGCATTGTGCCATTGAAGCGAAACCACCGGTCGAGTGGAACAAGGGCCGTGCTTCCATTTACATTCTGCGTACAGCATTTGGGTTGGATTGGAGCGAACGTATCAGGATCATTTATGTTGGCGATGATGTCACAGATGAGGACGCAATGAGGGTATGAATTCTCTTGACGATCAATTAGTCGAAGAATGATCCCCTTAAATCGATTCCCCATCTATT